ACTCTAAGCTGGAACCATTTTCACCGGAGAACAAGTCAAGGGAGCAGCGACGTGATAGGAAGTCAGTCCACCCAGGATTATCTGCTATAGTTAGTCCTACCGCAGCAAACTTTAGTGATCGTGCACCATCACCCGAACCTAGCGTTACACCTCTAAAAGGTGATCGCGCGAAGATATCTGCTCCAATGAACGGAGCACCCATACCAGCAGGATACAAGTTTGGCGGCAAGGATCCTCTTTCCGAGAGTTTCGCATCTTCAAATGACAGACGAGAGAAGGCCAAGTCACGGTCCTTCTGGAACTTTGGACGGCCTGTGGACAAGGCGATAGTTCATATCCCCAGAGCTGTCTTTGGTGTGCCACTCGAAGAGTCCATCGAGGTCGCAGAGATTGCTCGTCTGCCTGCAGTAGTTTTCAGGTGTATCCAGTATCTGGAGGCAAAGAAGGCAGACCAAGAAGAGGGCATATACCGTCTCAGCGGGAGCTCAGCTGTTATCAAAGGGCTTAAAGATCGCTTCAATGCTGGTCAGTTATATGACACTCTGAGTTCCGAATGAATGTCTGACTTCTTGTTCGCAGAGGGGGACGTAGATCTTGTTGCGTCAGATGAATATTGGGATCCTCACGCCATCGCTGGGCTCTTGAAGAGTTTTTTGCGGGAGTTGCCTGCCAGTATACTGACACGCGAGTTGCATCTGAAATTCCTAGCAGTGATCGGTGAGTATCCTTATAATTTGTTGGCCTGCCTGTGCTGACATCTGTAGCAGACTTCGTCGACGCTCAGGAACGCATTCGAGAGCTATCTGACCTCATCGCCTCCTTGCCGATCGCCAACTATAGCCTATTGCGTGCTCTCACAGCCCATCTCATACTCATCGTTCAAAACTCGTCGGCGAACAAAATGACGATGCGCAACGTCGGCATTGTCTTCAGCCCTACTCTTGGGATCCCTGCGGGCGTGTTTAGTCTGATGCTAGGCGAGTTCAACCGCGTGTTCAATGTTGACTCTGAACAGGGTGATGAGGACAACGTTGAGGAGCTGAGTCGCAGGAATAGTCGACAGTATACGGACGCTGCTGCTGATCAGTTGTTGGGCTTGTCTGGAAGGACCTTGAATGGTATGCATTTGTCCAAGTTCATCTCCCATTCCTTACAATTATGTTTAGCTCCTTCCGACGAAACACCCTCTGACAGTGACAGCATTTCCCTTCATTATGAAAGCGGAAATGATACCACCGAGGATGCAACCATTGAGTCGAATTTAACTCAATCAAGTGCTCGCCTATCTTCAAGTCACCACCACCCACAAGACTCACAACAAAGTACCGATCATGTCTCGCTCCTCCGATCTGAAGGATCTTCGTTGGAGCAGCGGTCACGAGCATCTAATCTTGCCGCCAGTCGTGGCCTAAACATTGCGGTTGGCAAGAAAGGCAACAGACACAGTCGTATGATAGGCCTTCCCGCATCGGCCCGATTACCAGTTGATGCACCATCAGATGCATCATCCCCTATACATTCACCAATGCACACGGCCAGACATAGTTGACAACCTTACCCTTGTTACTTTACCCTGCGTTCGAGATCAAGGCTTGTACTCTATTTACCTATCTCGATCGTGGTCATCTGTTTTCATCTATACCCGTCTCATATGTTTGGTCCGCCAGCTCGTTGATTTTTTCGTCGATACCCTGCTTCGAAATAGCTAGCGATCTGAAATGTCCAATGTATCATATATTCTTGGCTATTTGCGATTATTTGTAGCGTGTTAGCACTCGTTCACGTTTACGCGACGTGTCTGATTCTCACTCTACTCTCCCGGTCGTCGAATCTCCCGTGTGATGTACACTATGATTTTCTGAGCATGACCTTGGTTCGACTAAACATGTTTGAGCAGGATGGCTAACGAGCAAGCAAAGCAAATTCCGTTTTCCTTGTGCGTTCAAATGTTGTTATGATTTGAGTTGGTCAAACTTATGAAACCCCTGACTCCAGCTTTGTTTCTTTGCTGCACCAAATTGCCAATGTTCCAGTACACATTACGTCGTCCCGGGTCAACAAAAACACTCCTGCTTGCCGTTCTCCCTCTGGAATTCTTGCAAAATGGGTCGAAAACCTTCAGAATAACTATTCACCCTTACCTCGGGATACTACTACACACGTTCTCCGTCTTCTATTTCCTGAAGAGGACTCACACAGGAAGTATGACCTACAAGAAGCAAGGCTTTCACAGCTCCTGCCAGACTGCCTAGATACTTCCGCCTTTCCGCCTATCTCTACTGCCCGTTTGAAACAATGGAGTAAGCAGCAGAACTCAGGATGCCTCGGTCAGGAAATTTTTGCTTTACGATCATCAAATGCCGAGGTATCACACTGAATATTTGGTCTGAAAACTTCAGTTAACCAAAATGTAGTCATTCATTGGGCCAAAAAGTCTCCAGGATATCAACATACTGTTGGACGAGTTGGCATCTACCTCCGCGTTTTCTGACAAGACTCTCCACGCGGTCCATTCGCTGTCGCCACCTCGGTCTAAATCTGCTATTTTGCGGTCTTTATTCGAATCTCTTCCTGCCCTCGATGCTGCATATCTCACGCAGATCATTCTGAAAGATCTAAGACCCATCCTATACGCTCCCCCTGTTGCATCCACCAGCCGCGCTCTTCTTGACTACAACACTAATAGCAAGTCGGTGTTGACAAAGGAGCAGTTCATGAAGACTTGGGATCCAAGTGGCTCCATGTTGAAGATGTACAAAAAGCGTGCAAACATAACTGAAGCCGCCCTATGCTTTGAAGCTGGAGGTGCAATTTCACACCCGAGGCCGCGCTGGGGTATCCCCGTTGAGGTGCGCTCTTTGAAGTATGTGATAACTTGCCAGCTAACTCAAATCATCTGAAGATACCGAAATCTGCCAAGGGCCGGAGCCCGATGCATGCACTCAATGTTCTCGAGCCAAGTGACGCCATCTGGGCAGAAACCAAGTATGATGGCGAGCGTGCACAAATTCATGTAAGATTTGGCGGCCAAAGTGATCCACAAATCAAAATTTTCAGTAAGAGCAAGAGGGACTCTACGTTGGACCGCATTGCCGTACACCCGTATGTTTTTCTGCGTCTCGCAATACTCCTATCTCATGCTCTGAGCACCTCTTGGAAAGTATCATCATACAGGCTCTTGCCGGCTATAGCATGGGAGACATCATACTTGATGCGGAGATGGTTGCATATTCTGATGAGCGGCATAGAATAGAAGGTAATTCTACCCTTCACATACTGTGGCATCTACATAACCTGGATTCATTCCAGAGTTTTGGCACATACGTGGCTTAATATCGCGCACTGCTGAGGGTGCCCGGGCGGGCGGATATCGAAAGAGTGAGACCCAGCATAATTCGCACACACAGCATGTATTTCTTTCGTGCTCGTGACTCTCAATTCACCCCACAGCCACAGAGACTCTTGCCCTTCACTTCATTCGAATTCAACAACGGCATCCACCTTGCATCTCGCACTCGTTTTCTTTGATGTCTTGCAGGTGGGCGCAGCTTCCATGTTGAATGCTCCATATTATATGCGCCGGTCACTACTTGAGAGTATCATCACCCCAGTTCCAGGGCGTTCTATGTTGGCCGAGCGGACAGTTATCATAGACAGACAAGTACAAGAGGCTGAAGGACAAAAGAGACTGAGGGAAACATGGGCCAAATGTATCACAGAACATGATGAAGGGCTGGTACTCAAAGCTTCAGATAGCACCTATGGAGATTGGAAACTCCCTTGGGTCAAGGTAGGCCAACAATTCATCGACCTATGTATGGCATCTTAAGTTTTTTTGAAACATATGCATATAGTTGAAAAAGGATTATGTCCCTGGATATGGTGATACTATAGACCTTGTCGTAATTGCTGCTGCTTGGGAGAAAGACAGAGCTAGAGAGCTGAGAGGTATGTCTTCTCTACGGGACCTTGAAGTTGTGAAGATGAACCACGGCTGTTTAGTGTCGCCATCAACTCTAACTACATTCTACATTGCCGTCCTAAGCAACTCGTCACAAATCAATATCGATGTAAGTGCAGAAATCATCATTGTCATGCGGTTTAAAGTGCCTCTCTTAGCCTGGTTGCAAACCTCACTTTGTTGCATACTTCACTGCCTCATATGGTTTATCTCGCGAGCAGCTTGAGGAATTCAATTTCTGGATACGCGCAGATGCGGTTGATGGACCCAAGGTGATCTGTTTGTGCTAGGGCTTAGGATTATAATGAATACTGAACACCCAGCCGTCTATTGGTGAATTGTGCTACACGTACACTATGTCCCAAACCCTTCCAAGGCCATCTGTGTTCGTTCGAAACCCGATTCTGGTAGAGTTATGTGGCGCGGGGTTCACCAAGGCGCCACAGAGTAAGGTACGTTTTGTCCACACCTTGTAGTTGCAGTTCACATTTACGGATAATCTAGTACTACGAGCTCCGTTTTCCACGCATCACAAAACCATTCCGCCCGTCTGAGAGGTCCTACATGGAGTGCCTCACCCTCCGAGGCCTGCGGACTATAGCTCTCGAGACGGTTGGGCGAGAGGCCCATTATGCCGAGAAGTATAAGGACCTGGATGAGTGGGGCAGAAAGTTGTGGGGGAAGCTGGGAGACAAAACTGTCGAGGAACAAAGACGAGAGCTCAAAAGACAACGGTCCATTGCATGTTGGGAAGAGAAGCTGGAGACCATTGATCGTGAAAGGAGTAGGAAGAGAAGGAAACTTGAGGAGGATCTGGAGATGTCCCTATAGCCAGTTTATGTATTGCACAGATGCATTATCTACGGCGATCATATGTATCAATCGACTGAGCTTTGTCATATATACCGCTATACTTATGCTACGTTAAAACAAGTGTTGGACTTGGATATCTAACATATTTAAGCACGAATAGCCGCCGGCTCGGTATCGATTGTGTTCAGCCCGTCAAGCACTACCGTGACCATTGTATGAGGGCTCCAGTGAAAATTCCCTTGAATTCATTGTACATAAAACCTTTAATTCACACAGTAAGTACTCGTACATCGTACAGGCCCTCCAGCCCTGATCATAAGCAGATCTTCGAAACGTCATCAAATAACAATACCCGCCTTGTTCAAAATACCTTCTTCTATTGCTTTGATTTCTACATTTTCGATCATCAGCAACGCTCTACATACCACAAGGAAGGAACTCACGCATGGCCAAATGGAGACTGTGGAAGCGCGATAAAGCCAAATTACCTGTTCATCGAAATGAAACTGATGTGCCCGTAACAAGAACGACGCAGGATACCATTTGCGAACCACAAACCATCATGCCCGCAGTACCTCCACACTCCCGCAGATTGCCCTTCTTCGTCTAAACCCCAGACCCTGGTGATTTTTGATGCGATTTCATCTCCACAGATTCCGCGCATGAAGTCACGGGGATCGCTGTAACTACAAGAATTTACGAGTCCTGCTTGTCAAGGTGAATTATGATTATACCCCATAGCAAATACTATGATATCTGCCTGTAGCTCGGTGCCATCAGCAAATCGAAGGCCGTTTTCCGTGAAGGACTCAATTGCGGAATCGTTCCTGGTTTTAATATCCCCGTCGATGATAGGTCTACTCGCTCCGGTGTCTGGAAGCTGTCGAGACATCTTCGTTGTGCATCAGAGGTACGCCCACCGATGTAGTAGCCACCACCGCGCTCCAGATAAAGGGACATACTACCTGCTCCATGTATGCCAAAATTGGTCTAAAAGCCAACCTTAGCCAATCCATCTAGAATCGCCCTGCGATTGTGATTAATGCGTCTGGAAGTGAGCCTTCGAATCGTCCAACATACTTGTCTGCGGTCTCAGCAATCATAGGAACCATACGTTGATGCAGCCGCCTAACAACTGCCCAAGGTCGCGAGGTATTGTAAGTATCAGCCAGATGTTACGCCACCCGCAGACACGGCGGTATGTTACGACTTTGTCATGAACTCCTAATTAGGTCCTCATGTAATTCCCACGGCTACAATAGTACACTAATGATAGATCTGCGCTCAGCCAACGTAACTTGAAGTCATACTTCCTTCACATTTGCCATGGACGCTGTTGAAAAAGCCAACACAGCGAGACAAAAGCGATGGTAAGCTTCTTTCTGCAAGTTTCATTCGGTAAAATGTTGATTCATCACGCTGCAGGGTGAAAGACCGGAAAGTCGGTGAAGGTACATACGCTGTCGTGTACCAAGGTGAAGTAGCTCATGTGCCAGGCAACAAGCCTTTCTCTGACTCCTGTCAGGCCGAGAGGCATCAACAAGCCGCAAAGTCGCCATCAAGAAGATAAAAGTTGGTCAATTCAAAGATGGGCTCGACATGTCTGCTATTCGAGAGGTCAAATATCTACGAGAGCTTCACCACCAGAATGTTATCGAGGTCCGTCGCCAATACATCCTCACTTTCTTTGTGAGCACTGACCATCTTCCTTACAGCTTTTGGACGTCTTCTCTTCAAAAACGAATCTTAACCTGGTGCTGGAATTCTTGGATAGCGACCTTGAGATGATAATCCAGGACCGGTCGCTCGTCTTCCTTCCTGCCGATATCAAAGCATGGATGGCGATGACCTTGCGCGGGCTGGAATTTTGCCATAGAAATTTTATGCTTCACCGAGTATGCTACAAGCCCCTCACAACCTTTCACCACTCATAGTATCTTAACAGGATCTGAAGCCCAACAACTTACTCATTGCATCGGATGGACAACTCAAAATAGCTGATTTCGGTCTAGCAAGAGATTTCGCAGACCCGGGGCATAAAATGACATGTCAAGTCATCACTCGGTGCGTACTTTCAAGTCGCTGGTTTGCTTTCGCTCCTCAACGCGCGCAGATGGTACCGACCACCAGAGCTGCTATTTGGCTGTCGGTATTATAGCTCGGCGGTCGACATATGGTCCGTAGGCTGCATATTTGCAGAGCTCATGTTGAGAACGCCGTACCTTCCCGGTGAGAGCGACATGGATCAACTCAAAACCATCTTCCGGGCACTCGGAACCCCCACAGAAGAGGACTGGCCCGTGTGTATTCGTATGATCATCTATGTCATGCTTGTATCTTATGATTTCACAAGGGCCACACCAAACTGCCAGATTATGTGCCGGTTGGACAATTCCCAAGAACGCCCCTTCGCGACCTCTTCACTGCCGCTTCTGGAGATACACTTAATCTTCTTAGCAGGTTTCTCGTGTATGAGCCTCGAAAGCGCATAAGCGCAAGAGACGCTCTCAACCACGCATACTTTTTCGCCCTGCCACATCCGTCACATCCCTCCAAGCTACCTAAACCTGCTTCTCAAACATCCCGCCCTCTCGAAGAACTCGATGTTAACGTTAACATGGCCGGTGTAGGGTCAGGCGTCAAAGCCGCTGCACCCAACAAGCTCAAACGAAAATTGACCTCTCCCGATGGCACCGACCTGAGACCACTCGCTCGCAGATTAGACTTCACTCAACATGCGAAAAACTCGTGATCACTGCGTTGACAACCAATGACTAGTAATGACTTGGACTCCCAGTAGAAACCGCGTATGGTGTGAGACGACGAGAACGGACGTCATCTGCTTTATTTTCTTCGTTAGGAAAATATCGGAGCACAACATATGTCGTCGAGGCGCATCACATATACTGCATGCCGGGGCACGTTCTCCTCTGACGACATAAGATTTTTCTTCGACTTTCAGATAAATCTTATCCCACCATATGATGTAGTACAGTAGAACGAATTGATTCATATGACGTGCTACGACTGTGTGATATTACTAGTAGTAGGTATCGCGACAGCATAAAAGCAGGTGCGGGGCACGCAGCAGTAGCTTAGAGAACTGCATGAGTAAACCCGCGGGTGTGGGCAGTCGTACCCGCATCCATACCCACACTGCCAGTGCGGGTACGTGTTTTACTGCAGGTATCAACACATTGGACCCAGAGTATTACCCTCGACGGGAATACCTGCGGGTCACTGTGTGGAGAATAGGAAACAACACGCGCGTGAATCCGCCCACAATAGATGGTGGAAGCTCGGTGCTGAGTGACATGGATGGTAGAGCACGAAAGATGGGGGAACAACTAAGCAGAGCCAGAAAGTGACGGCCGTGGCACCGTCAGCGTCCACTAAGAAGCTCGGAAGACGAGATCACACATCATCTGAGAGCATGACATGGCCAGAGCACTATCAGCATCGGGTCAAAGGACAAGGACACGCACTTCCTGAGAGCTCAGAGCAGGACACGACCGCAGCACAATCAGCGGCAGGTAAGCAGGTCAAAAAAAACGAGATCACGCACAAGCTGAGAGCGGGACACCGCTGCAGCAACATCAACATCAGCAAGTTAAAAGACAAGATCACGCACATCCTGAGAGTGGGACACCGCCGCGGCACCATTAGCATCAGGTAAGTAGTTCAAAGGACAAAGTCACGCACATCCTGATAGCACCATCAGCGTAAGGTAAGTAGGTCAAAAGACGAGAAGACACCACTTCGTCTGTGGGGTGTATTGTGTTGACAACTTGAAGAAGATGGAGGAGCATAGCAGCAGAATGTCGAGATTGGCTGTATCACGAGATGGGCACATAGACGAGTACAATGGGCTCGATGTCCATGTCGTCGTCGTCTTAAAACTTGATGCGTTGCGATTCGTATGCTGCGAGCCATTCCTGAAGTTGCTGAATTCAAGTTTCGGAGGAGTGCTGGCACTTAACGTGCGCATATACTACCCACCCTTTGTGCGCATATACCCACCCTATCAAGATATTCTGAGCCTATTGAGCACGAAATACGATACTTACATTCTTATGTTGTGGGTAATCCTTTGAATGCTACAAGAAATCATTGGAATGATCTAATGAAAGAGACGAAGACAAGAAAGATCCTGGTGAGAGTAGGGATGGTTGTAACATGGTCAGACCGCCGCCCGCGCATGACCATTACACCAAAAGGTGAATACTGAAAGCTTAGCTTTCAACATCAGCGACGGTATATGTACTGACCCAGCGTGCTTACAATGGTACTGACATGATGGTGGTATGAAGACACTATGAAGTCATACAATTGTAAAGTGTAATACGAAGGTGTGCGAGCAAACTGAGACAAAAGCCATCTATATTCTTGACGTAGAATGTATATGCGACTTGATTCTCCACGCCGCTTTCTTGCGGATTCAGTCCATCGTGTCCCGCTCAGTGTCACAAACTGTACACTTGGTTGCGCTGGTAGGGACCTTCAGCATGCAGAGGGAACAAGTCCACGTATCCGACGATGAGCCTGGGGCCTTTATCCCTGCAGCAGACCAGTCAAATGCCGGGGCCAAAGTAGCACCAGGACGGGCCGCATCACAGACAGTGCATTTAAGTTTCGCACTGTCTGGATTAGACAGCATGCAAGTACCGCACTGCCAAATCTCAAAGTGTTGCGTTGAAGGTTCTTTGATAGCAGTTTTTGACCAGTCAAATGTCTTCTGAGGTACAGCTGCGGGTTGTGCGGTACTGCCTGACCTCGGCGCATCACAGATTGTGCACTTGTCCTTGGCACTGTCGGGGTTCTCTAGCATGCATGTGCCGCACGACCAAGTACCAGAGGTAGCAGCGGTAGGTGCCTTCATGCCCGCTGCAGTCCAGTTGAACCCGTTTGTGGATGGTGGTACTGATTTAAACTCGAAGGTAGGGAAGGAGAGCCGAGACATGCTGGCAGCTGCGATACGAGCTTTGACGTGGCTGGGCCCAGCGGGATAGGCAGCCTCAGCAAGCTTGAAGCTATACTTCGGCAATTCATCGACCTCCATGGCTGCTGCAGCTTCTTTGGGGGGTAGTTTCGCCTTTAAGGACGTAGTCTGTGTCTCTTTAGGAAGGTTACGGGATGCCATCAGCGGTGCCGGCGGCGCCTCAGACATTGGTTTGTCCTCAGCTGAGGCAGTCTCCTTGTCTGCGTAGTAACTGTACCGCAACTTGGATGGTTCCCTAGGAGCCGACGTCTTGGCTCCAAATGCAGTCTTCATCGGCAAGGCCAGAGATGGAGTATGCGAGAACGGTGTAGGGCTCGGCGTAGTGAGTGACGAAGGGGTATCTTCGACTGGCTCGACAATCTCGGCAGGCCGCGTAAAGACCGAAGATTTGTCCTGAATCATCTCAACATCCTCCACCTCTTCCACGGAAAGCACGACGGAGGTAGGTTTCGCGGTCTTTTGCTTCTTTGTAGGGCTTTCGTCCTGGTTTGAGACTTCTCCGGCAGTAACCATTGGCTTTGCAGTTTTGCTATGACCATTGGTCTTCGGGACATATGTGTCATGAGCTTCGCGAGTCGGTTTCTCTTGCCTTTCCATATCTGGCGGAGGCCTTGCGCGCTTACTTCCCTATGATCAACATCAGTCCAGCCCCTAAACCTGAATCACAGTTTCTCCACTGACCTTCGGCACTGTGGCTTCAATAATCGCCTGCGCGGTGACTTCTGGCTCCTTCTGCTGTTTCTCTTTTTTCTCTGCTGGAGGGCGCAAGCGTCTCGTGGGAGGCTTCCTAGTGGGCATCTTTACAGGATTCGCAGTCTGGTACGGGTTCGCCACGTCAGGTTTCTTGAGGGGGGTGACTTCCTTAATGAGTCCCGTCATATAGTTTGCAGCACGCGTGGGTCGTGCTGGAGGTTGTGGCGGTGAATCGTTCTGCTTCCACGTTTGTCGTAAAGGTGAGGGTACAGCCGGGGTCGTGGGCTTTACAGAAAGACCCGCAGTGCGTAAACGAGGTGTAGTTACTCCGTTCATCTTTGGCGTAACAACAGCCGCCGGATCCAATGTCGGTGCAGACACTGGTGGAACTAGAGTCTTCTCATTGATTGCAGGTGTAGAACGGGTGGGAGAAGTAGAATTTGAGGTCGGGAAACCGATGCTAGACATCGACGATGGGGGCGCAGACTTCTGTGCAGTCGAAGACTCGGCTTCATTGCCCACACGGCGACGTTTTGCATCAGTTGCAGAAGGTGTCCGTATGGGAGATAGCTCAATACGAGGGCCTTGAGGCCGAGATCCAAACCCAGGCGATCGATAACGGTTTCGTGGGCGTGCGCTACCCGCACCCTGCCAGCGTAATACGCCATTGGGATTGCGTGAAAGGGTCTTTTTCGGAGCGCGTATGTCACTTGATACACCATGTGATGTCCCAAGCCCAAGGTTAGGAGAAGATCCACGCGACGGAGATGTCGAGAATCGGAAGGGTTCCGGCTTGTCTGCTGTTTGAGCATGAATACATGCTTATACAGCATGCTGGAGCAGGAAATTCGTACCTTGTACGTTCTTTTGAATGTAGTCCACTATGCCAGCTGCCTCGAATTCGTTAAGAGGCCGCCCTGCTTTTTCGACAAGGAATCGAGTGACAGGCTCGAGGTTCTTAGCAAGTGATGGACTTTGCTGCAAGTAGGGGGGGACATTGGTTTGGTGAGGTGGTGTATTTAAACTGTAGAAAGGCTGTCGTGCGGGAGTGACGGGTTGGGATATCCCATTGGAAGGTCCTGGTTGTTGGGCATCCCAAGCAGGCGGGTAAACTAGTTCCTGGGAAGGCTACTCTTCGTGAATCAAAGTTACCAGACCAGACAATGCTTAATGGATTACAAACCTCGTGCCCTGGCGGTACATCGCCAGGAGGAAGAGGGAGCACAAATTCAGGCGCAGAGTTCCGATCAAGTTGAACTTGACGAGCCGGAATATGAGAGGGCCCCTCCTGTTCCTGAACCTGCAAATCCTCGTCCTCATCATTACTGGAGGACGAGGCACCTGAGCGCACCAGATCCTCAGTTCGATCATCCTCCTCGGTGCCACTGAATCGTAAGAAGCTCATTAAGCCAGAAATGCTCCATAGCTTAGACATACAATGTCAGACGATGTTTCAGATAGAAGACAATAACATGGGCCGTGTGCTCACCGATTTTTTCGTTGGAACTGGCTTGCTATGTTTTGTTGGGCGAGCGTAAGGAGATGAATGGGCAGTCCTCTTCGCCCGGCGGTCATTCCGTCTGTCCACGTTCATTCTCCCTCAATGAGTCTACAAATGTGCCAGCGAGTTAAGGAATTACAGGCTGCTTTGCGCTCGTTGTAGAACGGGCGACCAGCAACTAGAAACAGAGAACAGAGGACGTTGAGGACAAGTTATAATCATAGGACTGACTTGGTGAGCAGGCCTGGCACTTCCCGGTTTAGGGCCGGTCATTGTTCGCGACCTTGTCTTCCTGCACACGACGACGACGACGACAGCAGTTCATTCTTTTATCAACATTCGTCGCCATGCCGAACAAGGTCGTCACGACACCATACCCGCTCATCGACGCTGACCCACACGCTTTCCGTGTAGTGCGTTATTTCCGTTCGTCAGACTATGCAACCTGGGCTGCAGGAACAGCTGCATTCCCGGCTGCTTTGTATTTCTGGGGTACGCATCCTTGTTTCAGTCACAACGCTTTGTATCAGGCTTATATGAATTATCCTTGTCCTCAGATATGGCTGACCCTGCAAAAGTTCGTCTGCAGACCAGCTTTCGGCTTGGAGGCTTCCTTGGCTTCCTTGGCGGTTTCTTGCTGGCATACCAACGTTCAAGTTGTGAGATACTCTGGTTGTGCAAGATGTGAGCAGTCTCATTGTTTTTTTGTTAGTCCGATTCTGGGGCTGGTCAGAGAACAAACGAGAGGAGGACTTGGATCTGGCCGAGCTTTCCCAAAGGGCAGCTGAGGGTAAGCCTTTGTATGGTACATCCAGCCAGCCAGAGTGGGTGCAGGGCACTGCATACCGGAACTCTGCATGGTCTCAGTTGAAATTCCGTGAGTATCGGTGGAGTATGTCAATCAGCGTTTTTCCTGCTAAATCTCTGAATCTTTGCAGACGCATTCCCCATGTACGAACATATATCGCCATAATGTTCAGTCCCAGACTCATAGCAATTATTCTAGGTTCAACTTCGTCAACCATCAACATCACGGCACCGACGCTGCAAAATATGGTGTGAAGGAAAAGGAACTATCAGATTAGATATTTTTCTGCTGATTGTACTGTCGTTGGCTTAGCAGGATGATGCCATGCACTTAGGGTATAGCACGGGTATGGGCTACGCCGCGGGTATGGGGGTTATGGGTATGGCGGGTACGGGTACGGTGTAGAGATGTGGTACCTGTGGTCATACCGTACCCATTAGCACGGTATACAGGTATGTTCACGGGTATGTAGCCGCACTACCTCCGAATCTTCTCCGCAGTGTTGTATATTGGACCCGATTCACCACTAACTATGATCCTTATTTTTTGGAGGTCGTTGACTGCAACTGTGACCCGCTGCTTCGATCCTATCTCTTGCTGCTTCAACAACTCGATGATTCAACGGTATAAAGTGAGGACAGACTCTACATTTCTCAATACTCCATTCACTCCATCATTATGATTAATCAGTCTATTACCAATGACACAGCCTCGCTCGCTGAAGTCTACCTCAGATGTATCATTGTCTCTGCAGTCCATAGTGGACTCTTGGCATAGCGGCATCTCTAGTAGATGAGCTTGAGGACTATTTGCGGCAACCAGTGGAGAATATCAAAGTCCCACTGCAATGGTGGGTCCATAATCAAAAGATGTATCCAAATTTGCACTGGATGGCACTTGTATTCCTGGTAGGTTGTGCACCATTGTTTTCAGTGTTTCTACTGCCAGTGGCCAGCCACTGACTAGCCAGGAAAATAGGTTTGGCTTAGCCATTGGCGGTAGGGCGGTGGTTGGCTTTCCCAGGCCTTACTAAGCTGGAAGAACATCATATCATTGGCTGTAGATAAACACTAGATTGTACTACTCATCATGTTGTTGAATGTTTGCTTGTTGTCTTCACCTTCTGCATCCATGTCAACTAACTCATAAAACTTGAATTCATCATCAATTGATCTCATTCTGAATGCTTCTGTCATTTTTACCCAGCTCTCATCTTTGAAGTTGAAAAGTTGTTGAAGGAGGATATCATTGAATCCAAACCCCATGTCTATGGTGTCCTCGTCTTCTAATGAGTGCTGTGCAAGAATGGATGTGATGTGCCCAAGTGAGTGGTCATTGTCACTGTTGTCTCCATCTTGAGTTTCTATCAGGGACAAAATCTGAGCCTGCAGGAGTTATAGTCACAGTAACTGGTGGAGGTAGTGGGTCGGGGATGATTTTTTTTATGCAATGTAGACAGCCCTTTTTGTCCTCCATCTGCATATACTCGTCTCGCAAATGCAAGCACAATTCTGCCAAGTCTGTGAGGCCTTTAAGACTGAGACATGAATGAAGTTTTGTGAGTACTGTGCCAAAAAGACTGAAAAGTCGTTCACAAGAAGCTGAGTTTGTGCAAATTGAGAGAATTTGCTGAGTGAATTTCTGCAGTGGTATTGGGTTGACATCTTGAAAATGTATACCCTCATACACCTTGAGAGGGTCAGGATGTTTTCACTGCAATTTGCAGTGTTATGAGTGACAAGAAAAATAGTGATAGACTTGAACATACATCAAGTCCACCCAATTTATAAATTCTTTGCCATAGTCCCCATGTCCTTCTAGATACTCCAAGAGCTCCTTTCAAAACTCATCAGAGGGTGTATTAGGGAAAAATCAACCCCATAACTTGACAAATAGTGTCATGAGTCCTGCATTGGTAAATTTGCAAAGGCAAGCAAAGGGCTTGATCTTGTAAAAGGAGTTCAAAACAACTGCAGCTAGAAACACATCTTGATTGCATTTGCTCCAGTGCTTTTCAAGAGAATTAATGATAGCCTAGATTATTGAATTCTCTTCAACTGATGAAGCCTTCCCTTGTTGCACAATATATTTTGATATTAGAAAGCTGAAAATGATTAAAACTTTGTTGAGATGACAGTGTGTGGCCTGAGCAATGTTGATTACCAATGATAACGGCTGCAGGTGACCAACCATCCTAGGAACACTTGTATTCAGCTGATACTTGATGAAAAAGAAAGTATCTTCTACTGAGCCAGGGTCATCCACATCACTGGGTCTTTGATCAATCCCAGCATCTCCCTTGCTTTTTTCATGAGGCAGCATCACCTGTAACTATTTTTGAATTTCATTTGAGACTCTTCTCCTGCCTGATGAGAATGTTGAGTGCAAATTTAAGATCAAGAAGTCATCTGAAAGCAAGATAATGAGCAGTTCATTGAGTCAAAACTGCACAGATTATGGTGAGAACACAGTGAGAGCAGGAAGGGTTGGTTGAATTGAGGGCAACTTGAATATTTCTTAGTGTTGCTAGAACAAGGGTCTTGCTTCGAAGCCAAGAAATGAGGTCAGATGCTTTCTTTGAATATCTCAGGTAAACTGTGCCACCAGATGACTTGAAATAGTCACCAACAATAAAATTGATCTTTGCAATAATAGTATTAATAACTTGTAGTGACAAATGAGACACCAGACATAATTACCTGGTGAGCATAGCAATCTGCAGATACTAATGATGGAAACTTCTCAACAAGCTGTTTTTGAGCTGCCTAAGACTTGCCCGATGCATCTGATGTAACAGCAATGATATTTACCTTCCAGCCAAGCTGAACCTCTTCAATAACACTGATCATGAGAATTTTGAGGTATTGGACAGTTTTGTGCTGAGTAGATACATCTACTACTCGAACCATGTGGACCTGTTTTTTTTAATTACTATGGGTAAACTTGAAACAGCTGAGAATAGTCTTGCTTGTTGACTTGCTGTTGTGATCATAAATGCCAGCAGGTAACAAAAATTTATGCCTGTCCATCCATCTGTCTGGAGTGTTGCATCACTTCCACAACAACAGTTTTTGACAGCTTGCTGGTACTTTTCGACTTCACATGGAATAATATGATTGGAGAGTTGATAACTTGAGATCGGATTCACAAAGGGGAAAAACTCATTCATGAAACTATGGACTACTTTATTTTCAATCCAATTGAGGGAGAACCTGCATGATGTGGTGATGTTGGCAATATGAGTCTCAAAATGTTCCTGAAAAGCTGGTATCCAGTGTGATCATGAAGGAGTGCCTCTAGCAGTAGTTGGGGTATCTATCATGTAGTTCTGAGACTGTGATATCTGCTACACCCATTTTGATGGGGCTGGCCAGGATCCTTCACCAAATGCTGGACTACCAGTACAAGATGAGGATGAGGTTGGAGGGAATAATAGTGGTGACTGAGATCCTGAGGATGGGTTATTTGAATCCATGACCAATGTGGTAACAACAGTCCTGCTGAGTAGCAAGGACAAAGTTGGGTCAAGCTAATGCCTAGCTGCTATGTCTATACAGACACATTCAACCCTAAAGGAATTTGCTACTAGAAGGATGATGGATATGTGTGACCTGAGAGTGTGCTAAGTGCGGGAAAATAGCGGACAAGGTATGCGCGAGGTATAGGAATGTATCCGAGGTTATCTGAGGCGCGGGAACACACGGTTGAAGGTGTGAAAAGCACAGGAAAGTGTAGACAAGGTATAGGGAGGTTAAGAAATGAGGTTTCAAGGGAGCGAGGGCAAAGGTATATTGTGAGGTAAGGGATCCTAGATTAGAGAGGTATAAGAAACCTAATAGGGGCTAAAAAGTGCGCACTACTAGGGACTACTTCGAAGGTAAACCTATAGGGTGAGGTATACAGTACAAGGGAAGTGTAGTAAGTACTCCAAAGTATAGGCAACTTATAGTGTCTAAAATCCCACTTGGAGTAGGAAGGGATAGGAAATATAGGAAATATGTAAGGACATGTAATAAGGCTGCAACACATTTTACAAGCCTCGAGGTAAGGAAATTCACATACCAATGGGGTTTGGACAAGGAACCTTCCTAATGTGTTTCTGAGGTATCTGAAGCGCAGGAATGTGTATCTGATGCGGCTGATGTGCAGGAAAGCACAGACAAGCAGATGCACAAGTGCAGGAAAGAACAAATGATGGGCAATGGTAATGGAACTGATAGTGCCCTATATTCCTTGACACATATATGAAAATACCCTGTTTGCTGCCCAGCTTGGGTCCGAGCATCACACGGGAACATCAAATAATCCAACAAGTGACAAAGGCAACTGCAATGATTGTTGGAAATACACAGGTCATTCAAACCCAAAACTGATGTAATTGTGGTGAATTCAAACTAATAACCTCATGATGAGCAAATCACAGTGCTCTGATCCACCACTTTTCGATACACACAGTGTGTACCTGTGCACAGACTTCTGGTGGTTGATTATCGCAAGAATTGAGATGGGAGACCATGGTATCAGGTCTTCCATACATCCATGGACAATTTTGGTCCTTGATGAGGCTATCCAATCATGACCACACTAAAAAAGATGACTAACAGAACCTAAGAGAGTAGTATTGAGACACTTACAATATGCAATGAATTAATCATGTGTTTGCACATCATTTCATAGGCCTTGGCACTGCTCCTTGCAATCCTTCTGTTGCTCATCAATTGTCTTTGTAATTTTGCACACTCCATACATCACTTTTGGTCATCTCTCTTTCTCATTTGCATAGGCTGCAGGGAGTTTCTTCTCAAAATTGGAGTGGGTATCAAAATGTCCCTACCACCAGTCTTTGGGCTCTTTGTTGCTCATTCTTAAAGCTGGGAGTTGGTGTGACATGACTTAATAACTTGACATTGCATGAAGGTGATATCATACATTGATATTACATTGATATTTGCAATAAGACTGATCTACAGCAGATGGGAGCTACCTTCTATTTCAGGTATTCCATCATCATCAAAACACTGCCACTGGCTGTTCCCCAGGGCTAGCCCATAGGCTTCACACAGCTTACTGTTGGCTCGCCACTGGTGATAGGAATACTGATTGCTCTTGCTAGCATTACAACTTATGTGTTACACACTATAGCTACCTCAACTGCAGTCAAATGTGTATTTTCACAAAGCTGGCACCTTCTATGCTTTACCTGATGTAGAAGAGGAATGGGAAGTGGGGTAATATGAGTGGTATGAGATAACTCAAGTAGTCCTTGATGAGTGAGATATATGTCGGCCCAAGGGGATTGCTACTGAGAAGGTTCCTCTAAATGTATAATATGGAGGGAAACACTGGACTGGGCGCTTAGTCAAGCCTGGTAAGGCGCGCGAGTGAGTGAAGGCGACGTGAAGCACTGATGAGCGACAACAGCCGATGATAAGCGATGGCATGTGACTTATAACAGAAGCGCACGTGCAGGTGGTGGAGCACAGCAACTCTTAATGAGTCAGGAAACAAATTGGCAGAGTCTCTAGTAATGTATGGCAGCGGTGCTCGTATTGTACTTGGATCCTTTAAATTTAGAGGGAGAACTTTGACTTATAGTCCAACAATGCGCGGGCAGAAAGATAGTCATTATACAGTTTAGGCACGTGTATATATACTAAGTAATGTTTAAGCGCTGTCAAGCACTAAAGCGAACTGAGAAGCGAAGCAGACGGGAGATAATATGTAATATAAGGGTCCATAATGAAAAACATACGGAATATGGCCATAAGTGCCGGAGATATGTAAGAATCAATGAAAATAGAATTGGAATACGCACTGACGAACCGAATGGACATGGAATGGATGGATGGAGGATGGGCAACAGAACCGAGGGTGGGCGCACTGACGTGCGACAAATGCACGACCAGAGCACTGGTGCACGCAAGCAGCTGACAAAGTGCTTGAGCAAGCAGAGTGAGATATGAGTCGCGCTATATTAGGAAGTGATAGAGACATTGGGAATTTAGACCCCTGCAAGCCCACAGAGATATTACTCTCTACATCTCGTAGGAACTTAGCTTCTGACTGTCCCCAGTCAGTGTATATAGGGGCAGATGGACTTAGTGAATTTTCGACGAAGAAAGTCATGTGATCATGGGCAGAATGTGCTGAAAGCATATGTGGAATGGTCCACTGGAGTTTTGTGAATTGTGGACTGTGGGCACCATTGTGCCGACATAATGTGGTTCGTTTTGGGCATAAAAGAACCGGCCTCACGTCGCACTTCTCTTCTTCAATTCAATTATCCATCGCATCCTTGCGATAATCTCCTCATCATCTCCTACCATCATGTCTTCCGTCATCTTCAATCCCTCTTTGCTTACTGTGTCTCCCTCTCCCTCACCTGAACCTGAGGAGTGCCCTCAAGATGAAGGCAACACATCCATTGATGACACCACTCTCAATGACGCAACTCCAAAGGAGCCAGAGGAAACTGTTGCCGACCGGATCTGTCGGTCCTGGGCAGTGACTCTCAGCATGATGCGCAATTCTGTGAAGATGTGCCCTCTGGTGAAACTGGAGCTTTTGGAGGAGCAGGAGTTGTGGCTTCGCACTTGGGCGCAAACAATGGTGAGTTTCTTCTTTATTCTGTGCTTACTTGTTTTGCTAATTGTAACCTAGAATGACATGAGCACCCTGTTTGATCAGGCATGCGCTGCTGGGGTGCACCTGTCCCTCAGTGACACAGAGGCAGTGGACCTTGGTGCAGGTAAGGCTGCCATGAAGACTCTGACCAAAGCCGTCAAGGCTTGGAAGGAGAAGGCTGAGGATTCTGTGCTGACTGTGTGCCAGCAGCGCGCGGAGAAGGAGAAGGTGAAGGAGGCGGGGACGTCGGAAGCAGCGGAAAATGGAAAGGAGAAGGTGACCGAGGCGGGGATGTTGGAAGCAGCGGAAAATGGAAAGGAGAAGGCAACCGAGGCAGAGAAAGGAACTTCTCCAGAAGTTTTGGACATGGGGCGACCGGTAAGTCTTTTGTTCTCTTGCCTATTCTTCTAAGTGCTAACTTGGCATTCTTAGTGTTTCAGCAGGCATCTTACGACCACGTCGGTGATCACACACCTGGCAGTCCCATGTGCGCGATGCGTGTCAATCAATAACCCTTGCATCCAGGTTGATGGCAACTTGCAATGCAAGGGTTGCACCAAGGCCAAGAA